TAATTGTTTTCTTCTTTTTATTATCCATATAACAATAATATTCAATATCCATCATATTGTTATCAACGTTTATATATTCTTTTACATTTATTTCTTCATTACAAATAATATGAATATACCCATGAATCTCCATCATTTTTAATAACTCTAAAACAACTTCTTCTTCAGAACTTTCTTTATTTTGTTTACAAACAATAAATAAACTTCTTCTTAATCTCCATATATCATTAAGTAATTGTTCTATTGACATTTCAATAATAACTAAACTTTTCTTTTCTTTCTTCTTTTTATCAATAAATTCAAATGTTAGAGAATGTTCTTCATTCATTTGAATACTTCCTTCTTCTATAAATTTCTTTTGTAATATAGTAAATATTTCCTTTCTTAATAAACTACCAGTGATAATAATACACTCTAATTCCATTAATCTAATACCATCATTACACATTTGTTTCATTGTTTTAAGTGAAGGAATTGAAATTAAAGATAATTTTGTTTTTCTTGGAATAACGTTATTAGCAATAACCTTCAATTGTTTCATAGTTTTAAACAATGCATTTGTTCCATTAACATGATTTGATGAAATATTTAATACTCTTAAAGAAGACATACTAAAAAATGAATAATTCATTTTACTAATATAATTGTCTGACACATCTAATCCAGTTAATGCTAGTCTAGTAATTTCTTCAGGTATAATTGGTAATCTACATCCTGATAATTTCAATTCTTGTAATGAACGAGGTGGATTATTAATAATATCGAGTATATCAAATCTAACATGTGAAAAATTTAATGAAGTAATATTAGGTAATGAACCAAGAATTGTTGGATATGAAAGAAATTCACTTCCATTAAAATATTCTAAATCATTTCCAAGTTCAAATTGAAAATTTCTTGGAAAATCATTTGATGAAAGATCTAATTTTCTTAATGGAATATTACTTAATTCAGGTAAATTAACTAAACAATTATTCCCTAAACTTAATGAAGTTAAATTTGATAATTGAGAAATTCTAGGAGTAATATAAAATATATCATTGTCATTTAAATTTAATTCAATCAATTGTGGTAATTGAAGTAATTCAACAGGGAAATCTTTAAGACGATTGCTACTAAGGTCTAATATTCTTAATGTAGAAAATGAAGAAATACAAATATCTATTGGTGGGAATGAATAAATTCTAAGTCCAATATTTTTTGTTGATAAAATATCACTTGTAAAGACTTTAGTACATTTTTTACTATAATTTAACCATTTATAAATTAATGCACAATAATCTCCTTCAATAAGTTCATTCTTTAATAATTCATTAGAACGTTGATATAATGGATTAACAAATTCTGATGAATAATATTGAACTAATGAAATAAATGAACTCTTTGAATTAACTTGACTATGATTAAATTCATAGAATCTGTGAGAAAATATAGAATGAAATGTTAATTGAATTAAACGTTCATCAAACTCAAAAGCATAATTATTTTGTCTATATAAAAAGTTTATACAAAGTAAGAATAATATAAAATAATTTGAATATTCATATCCATCATTTTCAAAGAAACAAAATGAAATGAAATCTTTTTGTATTAATTCCATAAACCCATTAATAGTACGATAATGTGGATCAACTACTAACTGAATTAATCCACTCAAAACACATAACCCTTTTTCACAATTTTTATTTGAAATAAGAATTAAATGAATTTGTTTTGTAGTAATTTGTTTAACTAATCTAAAAGTATAATCTAATGTAGTTCTTATTTCATCACTAATTCTATTTGAAGCTTCAAATAAATATGATATATTTTGATTATTTTTTGTATTAACAGTTGGAAGTAATTCTTGAATTTTATTAACCATTTCACTAATTTCATGTTCTCCAATAATGTCATATTTAGAAATAGTACATTGATATCCCTCTTTCATTTTAATTGTAAAACTTGATAATACAGTATCTGCATATACATTTTTTAATAATGGAAATCTTATTAATTGACTTCCATTACTATGTTGATAACAAATAACAGCCTTTAAATCTTTTTCATTAATATGATATACTTCTTGACAAATTGGAACATTAACACTCATCATATTAATTGATTCAATATGTCCTTCTATTCCCATTCTTTTTACTTCATTAATAATAACATTATTAATTGTTGATGTACAATATAAATATTCTGTTTCAGTTGGATATCTATAATGTTGAATAATATTTTGAATCATTTCTTCATATGGTTGAATAGGTCCAACAATTCTAAAAGATAAAACTCTTAAGTCTTTACAAATAATACGTAAACAATGAGAATGTTCATTTTGACTAACTTGAACTCCAAGAACATTACAAATAGAACTACATCCTAAATATTTTAAAACATTTAATTCTCTTTGGTTTAATTGAGAATCTGGCATAAATATAATTCTATGTGATGTAAAATAAACTGATCCTGGAACTGCATCATTAGTGTCAATTTCTTCTGTTAATCCAACACAAAATAATGGACAAAACGCAAATTCATATTTTTTAATTACAACTTCCTTCTCATAAGGAAATAGTTCATTAATATCTCTATTATATCTTTGTTCAAAAAACATTAAATCAACTAAAGGAAGAAATTCTTTTTTAAAAGAATTATTTTGTAACATTGCATTAAAATAACAAAGATATAATTCTTCTTTCTCTTGTCCATTTAATCCATTTTGTTCAACAAATGCTCTCATAAATAAAATCATTTCTTTAAATAATAAAAATGCACATGGAGAATCTTCATTCATTCTTAACATAATATTTTCTATTTCTCCCATTAAATAATTCCTTAACCTTTCAATACCTAATTTATTCTTCATTGATAATCCCATTTCAAAAACTTTTAATACACTATCATTAATCATTGGTTTAGGAAGACATAAAAAGAAATATTTAAGTAACACAAAAGCAAAATGTGTATCTTTATCTCTAACTAATACTGGTAATTCTCCTAATGAATATTTATGACTAGTTGAAATAAGACGAACAAAGTCTTCATTTGAAATATTTCCATTTGTATTTAATAATGTAAAATAATTATCTCCAACACTCTTACATTCTTCTTTTATTGTCAAAGAATCTTGTTCAGTAAATCCTAATTGAATTAACTCTTTAATAGTTTTGTTTCTACATTTTAATAATGAATAGCTTTTAATAATTTCTACATCTTTTATATTAAATCTATCCCAATGTAATGGAAATTCTCCTAATTTTCTTTCTGTAAGATAATTTAATTTATTAGTAGATTGGTGATAAATGAAAACCATAAGTTGGTGAACAACAACAGGAATATCTTTGAATGTTTTTTCATTTTCTTGATAACTTTGAAGACTTCTTTTAATTAAAGACTGTATATTTGTTTCAACTTTAGAACAAAGTATATCTGAACTTGAATTATGATGAAAAAAACCTGATCCAATTTTGTTAATTTTCCCAATTTTTTTCTTTGTTAATGAAATAGATGACATTGGATAAACCCCTGATTGCATTAACGACTTTGGACGGGTACATAAATTCTACTCTTGTGAGTTGACTTTCTTTAATAAATTTTACAAAAACCTCTTTTATAAGCACCAAACTTTCTTTACACCACTTTTGATTCCCTAGTTCATAAATTTTTTATTTATTAAAAGTATTATTTTTCTTTCAAAAAAAAATGAATCAAACATTAACTGGGTTCTTCTGATCTATCTCCCCAGACATCTCTCAATTTGATATTTTCTTTTTGCAGTTCATCTCAACACTTCTAAAAACAAAAAAAAAATAAAAACATTATTTAATAGATATGTTAATCATTGAATTTTCTTTAGACTAAAAATTGTTTATTCATTATCTTCTCTATTATTATTTCACACTCCATTTTCAACACATAAATAATAGAAACTTCTTTTTCCAAAATATAATTCCAAAATTTTCTCAGCATCTTCTAAAAAAAAAACTTTAAAACCTTAAAAAAAATTATGATTTTGTTTAATTTGATTTATTTTTGTTATAAATATCAAATTATTTAAAAGAAAGAAATTAAGCAATTATATCCCATTTACCTGTTGTATCTATAGTAATTGGTCCAATAATATCTGACCCTTCTGAATCTACTACACCTAAAAGATATTGATTTCCTGCCCAACAATGATTTAAATAAAGAATTTTCATACATCTCTCAATTAGATGTTCAGCTTCTTCTCGAGACATATGATCTTTCCATTCTTTTCGTAATAGTGGCATAGCCATATGAGCACCTATACCACTAGCAACATAATTTTCTGTAAATGATGTACCATACATATCAGTTTGTCCAAGGAAAATTTCATCTTTTTTAACTCCTCCAACAATCAATGTAACAAATAATGGTTTTTGATCACATCGATGTTTGTATAAAATACGTTGAGCATAACTATATAATTCACTTGGTTTATATCCATTTTCTTTACCTTCACAACATTCATCACCATTGCTATTTAAATTAAATCCAGATAATAAATTATTATTTGAAGAATAACAAACACTTTCTTTTGTAGTGTTTCATTTAATTCAATGAAATCAGAATATTCACCTGAACCAGCAATTATTGTGTATTTCCCTAATTTTATGACTCGTTCTAAATCTTTGAATAATGCCATAGACCCATATGATCCAAGTGTATCTGCGGCAATAAGAACACCACCTTCATATTTAATACCAAGAACAGAAGCTGTACCTAATACAACTTCAGCTGGTTGTTGAATAGGAACATCAATTAATTTATTCATGAAATAATCTTTAGTTCAAATCAGTTCTTTTTCTCAATCTTCTGTTTCTTTTTATTTTTTTTTATTTTTTTTCTTTTTTATTGAATTATTAGGTTTTCCTAATTTCTTAATAAAATTTAAGGGTTTCTTAAATTCAAAGAACAATTAGATAAATAAAAAAAAGGAAAACAAAATTGTTTCAATACATTTATTAACTTTTTTTTATTAAGAACTTGTATCTTTAAGCGTTGTCAATATCAACATCCTAATAATTATTAATCTTTTTTGTTCAATCAGAAGAAAAAAAAAGTGATATAAATATCAAAAATAAAAACAAACAGCTAACCAAGGGTCTTGTAAAGCTTCCTCTGCGGTTAATCTTAATGAAGGTTCAAGTACTAACAAATTACTAATAAATTGGATTGCTTCATTTGAAACTTCAGACCAATACTCTTCTTGAAAATCATAATCAGCTGCACATACAGCACTTAATATTTCACCTAATGTATCACCAAAAAATGGAGGATAACCACATAATAAGACATATGTAATAACCCCAATTGACCACATATCAACTTCCATTCCATATCCTTTTGCATTTAATACTTCAGGAGCAACATAAACTGGTGTACCACAAGCAGTTAATAATATTTGTGCATCTTCAGTAATCATTTTAGAAAATCCAAAATCAGCAATACGAACATCAGTATCATCATCAGGACTTTTTAATAATATATTTTCTGGTTTTAAATCTCTATGAACAATGTTCATTGAATGTAAATATCCAATAGCAGAAATTAATCGTTTAACAACAATTTTTGCTTTATCTTCTGGATAAAATGTTTTATCACTAATTCTATCAAATAACTCTCCTCCTTTAACTAGATCAGTTATAATATATAATTTACCATCATTCCCATCAAATACATCATATAATTTAATTATATATGGATGGTCAACCATTTTTAATATTTTAATTTCACCTTGAAGCTTTTGTGGATCTGATTTAGCTGTATCTATCACTTTTACTGCAACTTCTTCATTTGTTGATTTTTTTATTGCTTCATAAACTACTGAAAATGCACCTTTTCCAATTTCTTTTTTAAGAAGATAATCTCCAACTTCCTTTGACATACCAACTGAACTTTGTAGTTCTTTTTTTTTTGTTAAAACTAAAAAATTTTCTTAAGAATTTTTAATTAGATTTTATTCAATTTATTTTTATTTTATTTTTTGTTTTAAAGATCTATAAACCAATTTTTCTTCACATTATTTTAACATAATTTTAGAGGTTATGAAGTTAGTTTAATTGATGGAATATTCATTCTTTTTAATTCTCTTTTTTTTTGTTGAAAAAATCTGTTGTTGTAAAAAACAAATTTTCTTTCCTTAATTTCTTGTTTTTTTTTTTTTTTTTGATATTATTAAAAAGATAATAAATTAGTCTTTAGGATTAAATTTTAGTTAGTCTTTATTCTCACTATGTTTTCTTTCAATCTCTTCTTTTAATTCATCAAGGAATGTATTAGATCTTTGAATGTGAAGTAATGAATATTGACTTAATAATTGATGAATTTGTTTTATTGTTTTTAATTCATTTTTTAATTGAATATTTTCTGTTTCTAAAACTGCACATTTATTGACCATTCCACAATACTCTTCATACATACTTTCAAGAATATTTGTTAATTCGTTTTCTCTGTGTTCTTTTCTAAGTTCTTTAATCCATGGAATTTCTTCATATTTCTTTAATTGAACTTCTAGCAATTCAACGTATGTTTGTTGTTTTTCACTACTAATAGAAGAACTAAAACTATTTGATGTTTTTAATGAATTACTTGGAGCAGGTAATATATTTCTTTGTTGTGTACTAAGTAAAGGTTGATAACTTGTATCAACAAAATTATATTCTATTGTCTTTTCTTGAGAATGAGATTGATAATTTTGGTGTTTTTCATAAGAACTAGGTAACTGAGATGTTTTAGTTTTTATAGTAGTTGAAGAGGTATCACTTTGTGTTGGTGTACTTTCATTGATGAGTTGTGTTTGTTTACTTTTTTTAGAGTGAGGCAATAAAAGTCCTGATTTAGAATAACCACTTGATGTTGAACCAAAACCAAGAACAAAAGGTTCATAACTTGATGGTGAGCTCATTTATTGAGAAACAAAACTACATCAAAAAGAAGTTACAGAACTTTAAATGACTAGAAATCGATAATGATATCTATTCTATATATAAAGTTCTGAGGCTTATTATGAACATATAAAGAATATACAACATAAATTAAAACAAGAACTTAAAAAGATATTTGATAAACAAGAATGATGAAATTATATTTTGTGATGGGTATACTTTCCATTTGTTCAGCTTTTTCTTATCTTGATGATGAATATTTATATTATAAAGACAGAATAACTGAAATGGAATTTAGTGGAAAACAATACGATGGTATAAATTTTGTTACAACACTAACAAAAAACCCACATTGTTTTCAGTTATTGGAAAAAACAAAAATCCCTTATGAAGATGATGATACTATTGTTTTTAATGTCTCTCATATCCATCCTTTATCAGCATTAGTCACATTATCAAATTTGATCTTTGCCCAACATGAAAATCCTTATTTCTTAGTCCCCTTTCTTTATCCTTCTCAAATGATGGTTCTTCAAAACTATTTTAATATTTCCTTTATGGCTCTTCAATCTGGAATTGTTCAAACATATGCCAAAGTTAATCAAACTTCAGTAATTATAATAGAAAGTAGTATGATAACTACAGTATCAGTTTATGAATGGAAAGATGGATTATTTTTAGAGACTGAACGAAAAGTATTTAATAAAGGTAGAATAGAAAGACAAATTCAACTAGGAAAACTTATTACACGACAAGACTCATCTCCAACAGAAATTTTTAGGTGTGGTAAAAAATTAGATGAAATTCTTGCAAATAAAGAAGATTTTAGTGAGAAAAATCAAATTCCATTTTGTTTAGTTACATCTCACAAAAATATTATATCTACTCTTGAAGAGTTTTATACTGAAATTATTCAATATATTAAAAATATTCTTCCACTCAAAAAAGGACAGTTGTTATATTCAAGTTTTTTAATAGGATATTTCGAGGATTTAATTAGAAAAAGTCCAGACTTTAAAGAATGGAATGTAATTACTGTTGATATTCATAATGTATTACAAAACAAAAAACTTGATAAGTACATTGTCACCACTAGAAGCCATGATCATTATACATTATTTAATCCTTATATAAAAAAGTCTATCCCTATTTTGACAGATAAACAACTTAATCAAACTCTTTATATTAATATTACTCTACCTTCAAATACAATTCATTTATGTGAATTACGTGGAACACTTGACTTCTCTCTTCCAGAAGAAGTTATTGGAACTATTTATTTAGAAAGAGAACCAAATAAATACCAAGTTCAGATAACAGGAAGTTTTGAGATAACTGTAAGTAATTTTAAACCAGAAATAACTAAACAATCTATTTTTTATGAAGAGTATCAATGTCATACTTTACAAGGAGAGGAGAATTGTACAACATCTTTAATTGAAGTTCCAATAAAATTAGTTCTAAGAAAGGATATTGACTTAGCCATTCGAAATAAAAACTCTTTCATAATGGAATCAAAACAATTAATATCCAAATTACAAATAGCTACTTTGCAATTTAAATCATTAAATTATCTTCAAGATGGAATTGAATGGATGAAAAGGAATGGTCTTAGTGAAGAATCACTTATTCTTTCAAAATTTATTTCTAAATCTTCAAGTAGTTATGAACTTATTGAAATAGCTGATTTAGTCTATGATTATGTAATGGAAAATAGTCATGAAATGGAATAAAGACTAAAATCATTGATTTAATTATAGTTGAAATAAAAACGTTCATGTTTTGTGGTTTTTTCGCTACGAATGTCAATTTGTGATAGAGACTTAATCATTTGAACTAAACCTTCAAATTCTTTAATATGATAATTTTCTATTCTTCCAGTTTTGAGTTCAAAAGTAATTTGGACTATTGAGTTTTCAGTAACAACAATAAATATATAATTTGGGTCATTCTCATTATTTACTTCACACACAGAAATAGTTTGACTTGTTGGTGAAGAAAAACAACAAATTGATTGCTCATCTATATAAGTACCTAAGGTTAAAGCAGAACCAGGTAATGGAATAAATCGAATAGACTTAGAAGATACAAATATAACTATTTTTGCATCATGAGAAAATGAGAGTTGTTGTACTTGAGATTGAGACTGTCCTCTATAGTAAGTACCAAATGGAATTAACTCTGATTTTTCTATTTGATATATAAAACAATATGTTCCAGTAATATCCACAGCTGCTAAATACTTTGCTGAATTATCAATGGAAACCTTTGAAAGTTGTTTTGGCGTAACATTTTGTCTAATAATAAATTTATTATCATCCCAAGACTTAATTTCTACACCAGCAAAAGAATTAGACATTAAAAAATATTTTGCTGTTAGCATCCCTAAAGAAGGACGAGGTAGACTTGAGTCATTAATTCTTGTTATAAAATACTTACAATTACATTCAAATAATGATGGGTCAGCAATTTGAAATTCCCCACTAATTTCATATCTTTCCTCTTCTTCTTTAAGTCTAGTTTTTTCATTTATTGAGTCCCAAGTTTGGAAGTACTTTCTTATCTGTTTGTCAAGGATTAACACCAATTCTCTTGTTTTATCAGTATCAAAACATCTAATCTGTGAAGGTTTAACTGTTCCAACATCAATTTTTTCAACTAATGGTGTAGTAGGATCTTGACTTGAAGCAGTAATTCTATAAGCGATATTATTTGCTGTTAATACAGTAATAGTAAATGGAAGCCTTTCGCTTAAATAAGCATCAATAACATTTCCTTTATAATTCCAAGCTCTTAAACATTCGGTCAATTTTTCATTTTCATATTTCAAAACATGTAAAAATGTAGTTTCTCCTTCTGTCATCCATATAATAATTCCTGATTTTCTAATTGATAAGAATAAACTTAAAGATAGAAAAAATTAACAAACTGACTTTCTCCTGGTAATTTCACACTTTTTGCTTTAGTTTTAATGTGAACATTATTTTGTGAAATAAAGTTAGTATCTAAATCTTTAGCCTCAGCTTCAATAATATTTCGTTTAAACATAACAACTTATTTTTTTTCAGTTACTTTTTATTAGTTTTTTGTTCTTTGTTCAATATAACATTATAAACATCATTAATTTAAAATAATAATAAAGTAATTAATTAAGTGTTAATAGATTTTTCATATATTCTTCCATGATCAGAAGATACTAATCCCATCTCTTCGCTGTTTAAAAAAGGGGAATCTTTTTGTTTAACCTATCATTTATGTTTTTCTTGCAAAATGAGAAAATCACTTCTTTGTTTTATTTTTTCCTATTAAGGTTTTTCAAACTTCTTCTGCTTATTCCTTCTTTTTAATCCTTTGTTTGTTTTTTGATTTAAATTGAAATAGTCTCATTTCCTTATTTTTATTTTATTTATGAATGAGAGAAGAGACTATTTCATTACTATTATATTATTGTGATTGCCTTACCCTCATTTTAGCAAATCCTTATATTACAATCATGTAATATTCTACCATAATAGCTTGCTCCACCCTTTGCAGCATTACCTAATACATTTCTAATTCAAATACACCGTCATAACCAGATAATAATTAGGAGAGTCGAAGCTTGAACTATATTAAAGTTGGTATGAGGTGTTTCAGACGTGCCACCTTCGATCTTACAATTAAAAATAATAATAAAATATAAGAATAATGATTGAACGTTACTTAATTTAATTCAGAAATAATTTTCTGGATTTGTTCTTTATTTGGATACGATGATTGAGTACCATGTCTCGTAACAGAATCTGAAGCTATTCTAACAGAAATCTCTGCTGACCTTTTTGGATCAAGTCCAATTGCCCAACAACGTGCATAACTTCCAACAAACGCATCACCTGCTCCAGTTGTATCAATGGCATTAACACGGACAGAATCAATTTTAGTTTGTTCCTCTCCAACAATTAAACAACCTTTATCTCCTAATGTAACAATAACAAGAACTCCAAATTCTTTATGCAATTTAAGTGCAGATTCTTCAGGTGTACTTTCACCTCCAATTTGCATTGACTCATTGGTATTAACAATTAGTGTATCAACATATTTTATGATATTACGATCAATCTCTTTTGGTGCTGGAGCAGGATTCCATAATGTAAGACAATCATGTTGTTTAGCTTGTTTTAATGTCTCGTATGTGGTTTCAAGAGGAATTTCATTTTGACAAACAACAATATCTCCTTTTTTAAAAATGTCATTAGCGTTGGTACTTATCTATTTAATAAGACTAAAAAACTATAGTTTTTATCAAAAAACTAACAAACAAATTGAGGAGTAAGTGCTTCATTTGCTCCTGGAATAACAATAATTTGGTTTTGTGCCGTTTTATCAACAGTAATCATTGCTACACCAGTTGGTAAGTTACAAAAATGGATCTGACTAGTATTAACTCCATTATCTTTATAGTTTTGTAAAGTTGAATTACCAAATTGATCATGACCTAAGAAACCAACCATAGAGACTTCAACATCATTAAATTTAGATGCCATAATACATTGGTTTGCTCCTTTTCCCCCAAACCCAGTGTGAAATTCTCTAATTTTTAATATGATTAATAAGAATATTAAATATAAATAACAAACTTACCAAGAATAGTTTCTCCAGGTTGAGGATAACGTTCACAATATCCAATAAGATCAGTATTTGAAGAACCAACAACAACCACTCTTTTCATTTTATATTTATTAGATCTAGTATATTCTACAAATTCCATTTAACACAAAAACATAAAAATGGCATCAGCTTCTATTATTTATGATGATATTCATAAAGATTGCTTCTTTTATGAAGAGAAACGTGGCAAAGAGTTTTATGAAGAACAAGCTGAAAAATGTGAAAAGTTTATTAATGCCAGTCGCAAAGAGCAAGAATTATTAGGAAAAGAAATAGAGGAATTATTAAAGACTTATCATTCAAAACAACAACAATATAATCAATTACAACAAAGAAAAGAACTAATAAAAGAACGATTAAAGGAGTTTAATGATTATATTGATCATTACAGTGGAGATGAACGAACGGCTAAAGAATAATAAAAAATAATTTAAATCAATGATCCTGGTGTGATGGTTTCAATGTTTCTAGCAGCACAGTGATGTCCTTGAGTAATAGCATTTGATAAAGATGAAGATGAGATTAATGATGCAGATAATCCAGCTGTAAATGAGTCACCACAGCCAATTGGATTAACAAATAAATTAATTTGTTCAACTGGTATTTCTGAACGAATGCCATTTTCATAAACAATTGTTGGCTTACTTCCGCGAGTGATAATAACAGTAGTACCTAACTGACTTATTTCTTTTGCTTTATCTAATGACCCATAAGTTTGTATGAATTCAGACTCATTTGGTTTGATAATTTCTGGATGCTCTTTCATAAGAGATAATAAAGGCTCTCCACGAGTATCAGCAATAACCTTACAGTTGTTAAGATGAGCGATATGTGCCATTTGTTGAAAAGTATCACTTGGTATTCCAGGGGCAGTACTTCCTGTGAAAACAACAACTGAGATTGAGTGTGATTGAATAATCTGTTTGAAAGATGGAAGGAGTTGGTGGACTTCTTCTTGAGAAATAGGAATACCTTCTTCTACAAGTTCTGTTGCATTTCCATCTTCAAGGATTGTTGTACAAAATCTAATTCCACCAATGGGAATAGAAACTAGTTGAATTGAATCCTTTTTGCATAACTGGGTGAACCATTGTGAATGTTCACCGTTGTTTTGAGTAAGTAAGATATGAGGGATTGATTGTTGTTGTAATACCCTACAAACATTAACACCTTTCCCACTAGCACACCAAAACGATTCTTTTGCTCGATTGACCTCTCCCTTTAGAAACTTCTTAAAAATCATAGTTTTTTGAATGACAGGATTAAGACATACAACCAACACAGTCATTAATATACATATTTTGAAGTTGAAATTTTATTTAATCAGAAATTAAAAAGAAAGTCTTAACAATAAGAAAAAATACTTAAATCAATATTGTTTTTCTTTAAAAGAATTTATTTAATTTCATAAAAATATTTTAAAAAAACAAACAAATACAAATAAGATATGATTAGCTCAATTGAACTTATTTATTCAATAAATAATTATTTATGTGCGATAAGAAGAATACCTCGTGGTGAAATAAACGGATGAAATAATCTTCTACAACTTACAGAAGAACAAAATTCTTTCATAAATAAGACTCTATCAGCCCATACAAACCCTTCAAGAATTTGAGAAAGTCGTGCTTGTAATAAAATGAAAGGGATACATTGGAAAAGAACTTCATCACATGCTCCTATAGATTTATACCATTCATCGCATTGTTGAATAGCGTTAGGTGTTTTAAGAAATTCATCAATCCATTGAATTAATACTTCTTTATAACTTGGGTTTTTAAAAGTAAAGGTATATGCATGTCGTCTAATGTTTTGTAATGCCCGAACCAAATATGCACCAAATGATTTTGAATATTGTTCTCGAATTGCACCTGTATAATGAACTTCAATATAATTAGGGAGATGATTATGAATAAAAAGTTCTAATGCAGCACGATAAGATTGCATCTTCATCGCATATAGCCATTCTTCTCTTGTTTTAGATTGTGGATGTGGATTAGAAGTAACATAAGATTGTGATAAATGAAATTTAATTTTATGTTCACCTTGAAGTAAATATTGACTCATTGGAAATCCATATTTATCTGCTTCTTTGACAATTTCATCTTGGTTCTGGTCAAAACATCTTGATAATGATTTTGGATTTTCTGTTAATTTATGATAACAACATCCAACCATACAAACTGTTTTAATTTGTGGAATTGCTTTAAAAAATCTCATAAGTGTTGGAGTTAAATCTCCACATGGATGAAGTCCAGTTAACATCACTTTTTCATCTTTTAATTTAGCTATTGACTTAAACTCTTCTGGAGTAGTTTGAGCAGTTAAAAATGCAGTATAACCTTCTGCACGACTTAATTCTTTTCCTTTTGCCTTCTTTTGTTCAATGGTATTAACTCTAACTTCCATTTTTGAAGTAAATTCAGCATTACCTTCAATTCCAACAACACGAAGATTTGAATTTAAAACTACATATTCAGTTAAATACCCTTTACCACAACCAACATCAACCACTGTAGAAATTCCTTGTTTTTTTGCTGTTTCAATAATTTCATTTCCAAGTAATTTAATTTCATATTTTTTCTTTTGTTTCATTAAACATAAATCAATTGGTTGAGAATTTCCTTTTAAATCAACAACAAACCAACTATTTGTAGTTGGATCTTGAATTCGATCCATTTCAGCAATTTTAAATGTTGGTGTTAATTTTCTACAAGTATCAATAAATTGTTGAAGAGAAACAGGTAAAGGATAATTAGAGGCTAAATAATTTACTATGTCTTTATCAACTTTTGGTGGAAGAACAACAGATGGCATAATATCAGTTGTTATATTCATCATATAACAATAAACCTCTTTTGAATGTTCAGGATGTGTTTTAAGATAATGTTCTAATGGTTCATAATATTCTTTTATCCATTCAGTTGGAAGATTACGATAATGATCAGTTATCATCCAATGAACGCTTTTAGTGACAGACAATAATTCATGACTTTCATCATAAGTATTCCCTACAAACAAATATTCATATTGACTAAGAAAATTATTAAGCTCATCACAATACTTTTCATAGGAAGTAAAAGTGGTAGGGAGAATTTCTTCTTGATGTCTTTCAACACGTGACATTCAAATGGCGTTTCTATGAAAATAATAAATTTTTTTTAATAAAAAAAATTATTAATTCAATTTAACTCAATAATAATTTTATGGAATAACACCTAATCCAAAGAGAAAAATATAATCTATCTTCATTTCTTCAGTAAATAAAATATTAAAATAGATGAAATCACTGAAATTTTATCATTCCTTTTCAAAGACACGTTGGTGTATTATCTATTTAATAACATAGTGTTTAATCCTTCTTTTTCTTTATCTATAATGTTTATTAGAAAAGCTAGATTTAAAATTATTTACATTAATTAAAGATATTAAAAGAAAGAAAATTCATACTGATTTTCTTCTAACATAAAACGGAGTTTATTTTCTAACTCTATGTCAAAAAAAAACCTATGTAATACAACCAAAGTGATTAAAACAATACATACAAAATCACTGAGAATGTTGATAAGAACAACTAATATTTCTATAAACTATCTAGCTTTAAAAAGTGTAATAAATTCAAATCATTTATAAACATAAAAGAATTTATATAAAATAAACAACAATAACTAAAATGACAATTTATTTTGTATTTATAAATTACTGTAAAATGGTAAGTATTGAGAAAAACAGTAATGAAAATAAATTAATATAAATACTATATAATAAGAAAGGAAATTTTTTTGAGTAGTTAATAGTAATAATATTGTGGACTGTCTTCTTCTGAAAAATTAGTCTGTTCATTTGATAAAGAAAAAAAACACTAAATAACCAAAATTATTACACTTAAAAAGATTTTTATTGAACAGAAGGAATCATAAGTATTATTTAATAATGGTAGTGATTGTTTCAAGAGGAAGAAAAGAAAATAAATAAAATTTAAATATTAATTTATAATAAAACCATTAATTTTAATAGGAAAGTATTAAAACCTAATTTTAAGTTATAACAACTTAAAAAAGGAAATAAGTAAAATTGATAAAATATGAGTGATGTTGCTATATTCAATTTAAAACAAGACATTAATGAAGATGACTTAAAAACATTATTACAACCATATGGAAAAATTAGTGAAGTAAAAAGGATATTAAAAATGAATAAACAAAGTATTGGAATTGTTGGGGCAACAAAAAAAAAAGAAATAAAAAAAATAATAGAGGCATTAGATGGTAAAGAAATTGAACCAAATAGAAAGGTTAGCACATTAAGACTCGGTTTTGTTCCATTATCCCCAATTGAAGAATCATTTAATAAAGCTTGTCAAGAATATATTTCTAAAGAACAAGAAATTAAATCAAAAGACAAAATAAGTGATGACTTCAAATCCCGATTAAGGGATGTATCAAACGATGATTTTAGAAGTAGATTAAAAGATAAATCAAAAGACAAACCAAAAGATAAGTCAAAAGATAAGTCAAAAGATAAGTCAAAAGATAAACCAAAAGATAAACCAAAAGAATTAGATGAAATTGTTACTCTTATTAATCAATTAAATGACTCGAATAACAAAGGCAATACTGATAAACTCAATGAATTAAATAAAAAACTAAAAGAATTTGAACAAAAAACTGGAGGAATAAAGCAGCATCATTCTTTTTATGACAAAAAGAATTTCAAGTATCACGGCAAAAAAGATTTTAAATCCTATAAAAAACATCAACAAGAGGCAAAACCAAGACCATACCAAAATAAAAAATAATGAATCTTAAAGGAACGGATAAGTCAAGCCAAATGAATTTTTATAATGATGATTGAATTATTTTGTCTAAGATATGTTGGTTATTTTTTTATAATAAAAATAACATTTGTAAATTAAAAAAAAAAGATAGTTATTATGAAGAATAAAAATGAGATTAGTTTAAGTCATATCCTTTAAGAGCAATTTAATAACTAATGAAGAATTGAAACGAAAAGGCATTAGTACTTTAAACTTCCTCAGAGACCTAGATCTATCAAAAAATGGAAAAACAAACCAACAACCTTGGAAAAATAATCAATACATTAAATCAAAAAATTGAAGACTTAAGCTATTTGATTCAAATTCAAAACATCGAATTTACTAAAGAACTTCGTAAACGTGATGAAAAAATAAATAGTCTAGAAAAAGAAATACAGTATATTAAACAACTGAAATGTATTGAAGAAGGAATAAAAGAAGACAATGATTATGCACCAATCATTGCTAATAAATTACATATTAATAAGATGATTGTCAAAGAAAAAGAAACAAAATGGAAAGAAATTTTTGAAGAATTTGTATTGAAAGAGTATGTTTCAACTGTTCTTATTCCAAATAAAAATGGTGTTTTAATTTCATCTAAGAAATGGAATAAGGAAAAGAAACCAATTATGATAAATAACTTAAGTCATGTATTACTTATAGTTACTAATCATCAATATTTTGAAATTTCAATTCAATCTGCTCCACCAAAGTTAATAAGTTTTGGAGTTGTTTCATCTTTAACTTATAAAGAAAAAGTTCCAATAGGACAAGAAAAAGAAAGTATTGGTTTTGATTCAAATGGTACTTTATTACTTGCTAATGGATTGAAAAAAAAGATAGCTCGTGCTTGGAAATCAAATGATGTTGTTGGATGTGGTTATGATGCTCAAGAGAGTAATGTTTATTTCACATTGAATGGGAAGAAGATAATTCAAGTATCAACTGTATTTAGTGACTGGTATCCAGCAATTCAACCCTCTGGGTTTACTCAGTTCACGACAAATTTCGGAGAAACTCCTTTCGTTAAGAGTTTTTAATTTAATTAATCGTTTTATTTCGTCTTTTTATTAAATTTTTTGTTTTAAAACCACGAATTTTTTTCTAATCTATAAATAAGAATAATAGCGAAAAAATTCCATTTTTTTTTTGAAAGAAAAATAAAAATAAATCCTGTAAAAACAAAAATAGATCACCATTACTTTTTAGAGTCATTTCTTATGAATAAGCGAAATCTTTATGAGCTTAAAACAACTAAAGAAAAATGATTTTTTCGTATTAGAGAGTATTAAAATCATAGAGTTTATTTGTAAGATTTAAAGTAGTTATTCAAAAAAATATATAAGCCAGATTATATTTCATCTAGAAATTACAATGAGCAGAACAGCTAGCTGTAAACAACAGAATTATAAAACAGTTGAAGTTTTAAATGTAAATAAAGTTATTAGTGTCCATAAGAAAGCTAAAGATGATTCAGAGAGTATTCAAAATTATATGAATCAACTTAAAAAATTAAGAAACAAGAGAAGAACTCAAAGTTGGTCTCCGATACAATCACCAAAAGAAACAGCTATTCAAGTCGGTGATCAACAATTTGAAGACCGTTATGATTTACTTAATTATTGTATGAACACAAACTCAGAACCAACTACTATAAGCGATACACTCTCAAATAAAAGCTCAATTAATGTATAATAGTATTTTTGATTAATATTTTTCTTTATTGTTCTTTATTTATCTTAATTTTTCTCAAGAATGTTTATGATTTGAATATTACGAAGACAAATGACGTTGTGCCAACTAAATAGTTTTTTATTGAGTTTAAAGCATATTAATATCATGACTGTGAATTATTTTTTTATTATTAAAAAGCTTGTTGTCATTATCAATACTATTATCATGGTCAAATACAACTAAAGAATATCGAAAGGTTTTTGAATATTTTTCATAAAGAAAATATTCTAATATATTCATAAAAAATTATATAAATAAAGAGTTTTTGTACTTAACACGTCGGCTATTCCTACGAATAAAACATGTTGTAGTATATAACACATTAACTCGCTAATAAAAGGAATGAGTAGAAGTAAAAAATTATTTATAACTTAATGAGAACAAATAATCATAAATGAAGTTAACATTTAATTAAATTAGAATCATTTCTTCCTTCATTATTTCCATAATTTGAATTGATTTTCGAAAGAACAATTCAGTGGAATTTCTCTTAATTTCATGTTTATTTCAATACTCTAAATATAGATTGATATTGTGTTTAAAAAATAACAAAATAAATAACATAATATAAATTTGTTTTTAATAACAATGTTTATCAAAAAAAGTTATTTAATTAATAATAAAATGAATAATAAAAATAATAAAAAAGAATGGCTTAGTTGAGGCGAACTGGAATTTTTATAAAACATGTTTGCACTTATCTTCTTCATCCAACTTTCAATAGGATTTATTATGGAGGTTCCAACAAACGGATTTCGGTGCATTTCAGATGAAGGGTTTGATAAAGAAAGAGCAGCAGGAACATACAGATTAGCTGAAGGACAATCATTAGATAAAAGACAAGTTGTATTTAAAATTTTTAGAGGAGAAACAGACAGAACCGAGATTTTCAGTGCTGATTTTGATGACACAAAAAAACCAAGAGAGTTTGGTGCATTGTACAACGAAGATCTTGACAAGTTATATTTCTGTGTTATTGATTCTGCAAATTCTCGTGGAATTGATCCTGTAAGAGTTGAAATAAACTTTGAAACGGGTAAAGTTGAAAATAATTTTGTTGGTAAAGATAAAATAGATACTGTATCAGATAAAGTAGATGATGCTTTAAAAAATTCTGAAGCTATTAAAGAGTATGTAGATAAATGTAAAAAATTATATGACACTCGTCGTGGTTTAAATGGTTTGTTCTTCTTTTCATTTTAAAAAAGTTCCTCTTTGCTCATGTCTTTAGAGGCAACAAATTCTATGACGTTGTGGATGATGATCCTTGTTATTTGTGCTGTTATTGGAAGTACTCTTTACCAACTTCGTTCAATGAAACAATTCTTTTTGAGAAGAAAATTAGTTTAAATCAAGTTTTTTATTTTTTTAGTTTTATGCTTTTTATATTGTTGTTATGAACAATTAATTAATGAGTAACAAAAAACCGTTTGATAAAACACCAGAAGAAGTTAGAAAACTGTCTTAGAAAAGAAACAATCTTTAATTGAAAAAACTAAATAAATCCATAAAGCACAGAATGAATGTTTGGAAATGCTACATTTATAAATTATTTTGATTTGACTTTTAAAACCATTTTATTATTTTAAATTTATTCAATAAGGTTTTTTGTTTCAGTGATATTGTTTATATGTTGTACTACTACATTGAGTCTTATAATTTGTTTATGAAATAAATTATTTATATGAGTTTTTATTATCAACTCAGTTAAAAACTCTTTTTTATTTTAACACAAAATTTCAAAGAGTCTCATAACCATTACCACAAAACAAAATGAAAAGAAAATGGTAATAATAATAAAATTTGATCAGAGAATGTTTCAGATGTTTTTTTTTTTAAAATAATATTGTTATATAATATTGTTTATTTTTCTTATTTCTGTCTTATTTGATAATTAAAATTTATTTTTAATTGTCATGGTTGTATTATTCTTATTGATGTTAATAGTTCTGTTGATAATGATGTGTTATACTTATTTCTTTATCAATAAATATCAATGTCAATGAGTCATTCATTTATTTCATATTTTAATAGTCACATTCAATACAAAGTGAATAATATTAACGATTAGTCATACTATAATTATTGTTATATAATTATATTACAAAATAAATGATATTGAAATAATTTAATTTAATTTCTATTTTCATATTGAGAAATTGAAATGTTAAAGAGTAAACAGAATTATATGAATATTGAAAATGATTAAGAGAATGTCAATGACGATTTGTTGATGAATTTGAATGATTCATTGAATTTTGATTTTCATAAATTGAAAAATCAGTGTTTATGAATTAATGAATGAAAGTTTCATAGTCAAAGTGAATTCTATGTTTTAAGAATCATAAAATACAATTTTCATGTTTTCAATGAATAATCTCATGAAACATTTCAACTTGTTAGATAAAAAGAGTTATTATATATTCATTTCATATTTGGTCAAATGTAAAAACAATCATTATTGATATTCTCTTTTATTTCTTTATTATTTTCATTCTCTCGAGTTCTATTTATTATTGAATCATTATCAGTAATATCATGTTAATTTATTTATATTCTTCTTTCTTTTACTCATCTTTTTTCTATAATTATAGTTTATTATTCCATTGTCAATATCTGTCGACTAATTTATTATTTTCTCTCTTCATTTTTATTGAAAAATAATGAAGTTATTCGTCTTTATTTTTGATAATGAAGATACTCAACAACATGTACTTATTGATTTAAGTTCAACGTGTAGTTTTCTACAATAGATAATTAAACATGAATAGATTCAATGTACTTATTTGAATTATTATTGCGATAATTCATGAGAAAGAATCAGAGTAATAAATATAAATACATCAATAGTTTGTATATATCTGGTTATTGGTTCAATAGAATATAATGTTTATTTCATAATAATTGTTATATGTAATGTTATACAAATTCTAATCAATTTCAATCAAAAAGTTGGGAAATGAAGAATTATAAAAATGTTGTTGTATTTTGTTCAATTTTATAGACTGTTAAAAAATATCAATGAAGTTCTATTCAAGTGAATTCAAATGAATAAAACACCGATAATATTTGTTCTATTCATTATTTTATCAATTATATCATTTTGTTTATTATTAATTTGTATCAGATTAGTAATGAAATGTATAAACAAGAGAGAAGCATGGTTTTATTAATATGTGGTATTCTCATTTCAATTATTACATTTCTTATTCATTACACTCATAAACTATGAAATTTTCAAGAGAATCATCAATATTAAAATGAATAACAACAAACAAATAATTCCAAAATGAATTATGAATTTTATTCATCAGAAATTGTTCATATAATCTTTCTTGGTATTGTAATTATTAATGTTTTTAATTTTACAACAAAGATTATTTCATAACAATAGAACTAAGCAAGATAATATAAATAAGAATAATTGTATGAACAAAATTATATACAATGAAACAAATGATGAGTATAAAATAGAAAGAATAACAAATGAAAGTATTTGAACATTTACAGTTGTATTATAGATATTCAATTAGTATTAATCAATAAAATATTGTGATTAATGTATTTTGAATATTCAAAGAAATAGAATGATTCAATTCAAACAAAATATAACAGAATATTTTGAGAGAATAATTTTGAATTAGAATTTCATCAAGACAATTTAATATTA